GCTCAGCAAGGACTCTGAGGATCGCTTTGCATGTCATTGAAGGTTTCTCTCTGTACAGTGTTCTCCTCTCCAGTGCTTTATCTTGCACTATGATCTCCTCCTCAACGCAGTGAGGCCTTCAACTCAATCTGCTGATGATGAATCCTCTCAGCTCAACTCTTCTGCTACTCCCACATTATATCAGCATTTAAGGATGGCTTCAGATACCTATCCTTTAATCAGTAATCTGATGAAGCCATAGAGATCATCATTGTTACTTGTTTTCTTTCTTTCAAGTATCACCATCCTGTACTGCCAGCTGTCCAATAATTTAAACCCTCATTTCACATACTTTATCCAATTTAGCTTGCTGTTCAGTATCTGAGGGTACAAACAGTCCCTATCATTCTATATTGACCAGAAGAGAGAATATGATATAGCTGCTTTTGAAAAACATTTTTCATCTAAGGCTAAATCTAGTCAAACATTATGACCCAGCAATTCCATTCCTAGGAATTTTTTCAAGATAAATGAGAACACATGCTCATAAAAACACTTCTGTGAAAATCTTCATGGCAGCTTCATTCATCGTGGCCCAAAGCTGGAAACCATTTAAATTGAAATCAACATGAAAATGCATAAACAAATTGTGGGATTTTAACACAAGGAGTATTACTCAACAATAAAAAGGAATAACTTACTGACACACATAGCAACAAGAATGAGTCTCACAGATTTTATGCTGAGTGAAGCAGGATACAAATGATTGCATTTACATGAAGTTAAAAAGCAGACAAAACTAAGTTATGGTGAAAAAGAATTAGAATTTGATTGTCTCAGTGGAGATTCAGTGAAAAGTAATTAAAGAGAATCTTCTTGTGTGATACAAATACTCTTTATCTTTATGGGGATGAGTTATGAGTTTATGCATATTTAAAAACTCAGCAAACTTTGACTTTAAATGTGTATTTTATTTTATATAAACTTTCTCTAAAAAGCACTACAATGGGTGATAACTTTTAGGTATTAACATTGTTTTTCACAGTGAGAGGAACTAGCATTATATTACTTGCTATAGTTTATGTACATTTCTGTTTAGTCTAGGCTTGGATTCATTATTAACTATATTAAGAATAATGGGAGCTAGATTTCTCACTGTTGGAGAATTAAGTTAGAAGTATGGAAAGGAGGAAGACTAAATTCTACACTGTGGTATTAGATAATAATGATAATGATAAATTTACGGTTTCAAACATAGAAATATATACAGGTATCTATGTAGATTGACATATCTACTGCCTATGCTGAAGAAGCAATGACATATCAATGTTATTGACAAAGACCCAGCACTCTGGCTTCTAAACCTGATTCTCCATGAAAAACAAACAGATTTCCTTTGAATAAAAAATGATTTTAGAGCTAGCATAGGGAAAGTACAAGATCATTCTAGAACATTATTTTAAGTCAGAAAATCAAAGTGCTTAAAGAATGTTGAATGATGGAGCTATGTCAAGAGGACATAGGATACAGTTTGTTGGGGTTCCTACTAGTTAAATCTCAAACCATTTTATCATAAAAACAAATATTCCTAGTAATGAATTATATGCTATGGTATGCTAGTAAACTGGCTGTCCATAATGGAAAAATTACAATATAGGAAAATTACAACCAGGAAGCCCTGGTTGGCAGTATTTGCTGATTTTTACATTGTTAATGCTCCATTATGGATGATTTTAAACTACCAACATTATGCCAGTGCTAGATTTAAGAAGAGTTGCCTAAAAGTGATTCTCATGAGTAAGTGAGCTGGCCATATCATTAATTATAACTATAGAAAAAAATGAGGCTACATAAATGTATACAGATTATCAATAAATGATTAAATTTCTTAATAGAAGAGAAGGGAAAGCACTTGCTTATGGTGAAATTTTAACTAACATGGAAGAAATGACAGAGTAGAAAATAATCAGTAAATGCCAAATCTAGCAAGGAAAATGTTAACGAAGAGCTCTAAACATACACAATCTGAAAAAAATCACTCTAAAAATTACTTAGAATTTACCAAAAAGAACATTTGTGTAACTTCATAGTAAAGCTAATGGATGCCACTTTAATCAAATAATTGATGTCAGTATTTTCAGCATTGAGATAAGCTGGCATTATGTACCTCTTCGAACGCACTGATTAGGATTAGGCCAGTGTCACTTCTCTGCCATGCCTGTTGTATCAGTCAGAGAAACAGGACCAACAGGATATATTACAAAGAAATGTATTTTAAGGAACTGGTTTATGTGGTTTGGGGGCTGGCAAATCCTAATCCGTAGTACACAGTGGCAGACTGGAAACTCCGGCAAGATTTCTATATTACAGTTTTGAGGCAATCCTTAGTTTTACTTTTAGGCTTTCACTATTTGGATAAGGTCAACTCATATTGTCTAGGGTTCTCACTTTTGTCTAAAAGTCGACTGATTCTAGATGTTCACCACATCTACAAACTATTTTCCTGGAAACCTCTAGATAAGCATTTGACCTGACAAATGTGCACCACAGCCTAGCCAAGTTGACACATAAAACTTAACCATCAAGTCTACCAAAAATTTATAATCTGAATTCAATCATAAAAAATAAACAAAGAGAAATGGTAGAACATTTTATGAACTAACAGGCCTATTGCCTTGTAAATGTCAAAATAAATGATAAAATGAAGGTAAGAATCTCATTTAGATTAAAGCTGACCAAAGAAATACGACAATTAAACATAATCTAGGATCCTGGATTTTATGTGCTGCTGGATGAAAAAAGTTACTGGGACAATTGATAAAATTAGATTATGAAGTGCAGGTTAGATAATTTGCTATTTTGACTTGTTTTGCTGTGGTCGTGTAAGAGAAAGTCATCATTCTTAGGAAGTACTCAATGAAACACTAGAGATAGCATGCACAGTATCTCCTTCTCCCTGATGATATCTGATCCTGCAAATATGTTTTCTTACATAGCAAAAGGGGCTTTGCAAATGCAATTAAAAATCTAAAAATGAAGAAGTTATCCTTGATTATCATGGCAGGCCCAGTGTAATCACAAATTTCTTAGAAAAAAGAAAGAGGAAAGCAGGAGAAGCAGAGGCAAAGACTAGGAGATTAGGACAGAGGCTGATTTCAAAGTGATGCAGATACTGGCTTGGAAGATGGAAGGGGCTTCAAGTCAAGGAATACAGGCAACCTTGAGAAACCAGAGGATTAAAACAGCCTCTAGAACTCTGAAGAGGCAGGGAGCAGAGTCTCCCTAAACACTCCAGAAGACCTGCTGACACATTTTTTGGCCTCAGAAATCTTGTTTTGGATTTCTGAAATCTAGAATGTTAAGGTAAGGAATTTGTGGGGATTTTTCCTTTCCATTCCATGTACATTTGATTTTTATTTTAGTTTTAATTTTAGATTCAGAGATATATGTTCAGGTTTGCTACATGGCTATATTGCATAATAGTGAGGTTTGGGTTTCTAGCGTACCCATCATCCAAATAGTGAACATTGTACCCAATAGGTAATATTTTTAACCCTCGGCATCTCCCATGCTCTCACCTTTTGGAGTCCCCAGTATCTTTTATTGCCATTTTATGTCCACGTATAGCCATTGTTTAGCTCCCACTTATAAGCGACAGCATGCAGTATCTGAGTTTCTGAGTTACATGTTACTGTAATAATAGAAACCTACTACACCCTCAAATGACTTCAAAAAAGTATGCATTTGTTTGAAACTAAATATAAAGAGACAAAATGCAAAAAGGCAAAGCAGATATAAAACATTAGCAAAGTTTGATTAAGAGTTTCTGGGATTTCCTCATACTATTACAATTTTCTTTGTTTGAAGTAATACTAAAACAAAAAGTTACAGAAAGGGACAAAAAAGATCTGTGACTTAAAAAAAAAGATAAATATTTACGGTCAAATTATTAGGCTGTATAGAATTTGCTTCAAATACACCAGGAAGGAGGTGTAGATAGGGAACTTTGGATGAGTGCTTGTTAAGAATGGGTAATGTGTAAGAGTTTGAGAATACTATTTTTGTCTGTTTTTGCATTTGTTTCAGATTCTTCTCAAAATATTCAAAATCAGGATCATTTTATCTAAAAATCGATGGAAGGGAAAATGATGCAATACCAACATTTCATGTAACAACCAGTCTAGCTGGGGAGTTGGCAGCCTCTACTGAAAAGAAAGAATTGGCATGAACTCTAAACAGTTTGGTGTCATATCAATTTAATATATTTTATTTACTTGAACAGACAAACCAGGAAACAAGAGGCTTTTCTCTGAGTATGGCAGCCAGCAGACATTAACCTTTCTCTACTGTTAAGGCTGCTCTCTGCAGTTTCTGCAGTTCGTTTTGCTTTTTGTTTGTTTTTATAATTGTAGGCACTACCAAAAGTGTTTAGAGGACTCTGTTGAAAATGGCAGTATTTGAAGAAACTGGATGTCACTTAAAATATGATCCTTGGATAAACATCACATGCTGCTGGCCTTCTTACAAAATGAGTAAGCATTGACTGTCTCTTTCTGGCTGCCAAAGCCATTTTGATTTTCCTGGAGCCTTCTATTTAGCAGGTAATTTGAGGGGACCGTTGGGAGGGGACAAATATCATACATTTAAATTAGAATCTTTATTTGCTTCACCTGCCCTCTTTTCCGAATAAATTTGTAAACAAGTTCAGGACATGTTTCTGTACAATCAAAAATAAATGAAAATTGTTCAGAGAGTTAATCTAACTTTTTGCCCTTCCCCAATGAGACATACAAATGAGAGCTTGCATTTCTTGGCCAGATACGATGAATTTAAATCTTCCATTAACATATAATAGGTTTAGACTATAAATCCCTTTGAGCGTGGGAATCGGTGAGAAAAAACAACACTCTTGAAGCTATTGCTGAAATAAGCTCAAACATTTATTTTAGAATATACCGTGCCTGTAAAGGGAAAGATAATAAATTTTATGTGTCTCATTTTTTTTTAAAAAAAAACAGCAAGATTTGTTAAAAGCCATTTTATCTCTGAGAGATTCAATGACCATGTTTGATGACAAGCCAGATGGCAGTGTTCTCTAGACCCGGTGCCAAGAAGCATGACAGGAGCCGCAATTTACCTTCCGTGGTGAGGCGAGCTGCTGAAGCACACCACAGCTGCGGGCGAGCGGGCTGCTGCCGGTAGGTGCAAGCACAGTTGGTTCCCTCCCAATTTGGATGCAGCAGGTAAGAGGCTGAATCAGTACCCAGCAATTATGGAATTGGCATGCGCTGCATTGTTTACTCACAGTAATATTCCTACTGGACTTTATTAAAACACCATCTGTTGTTGGGGCAGACAAAGAATCCAAATAGAAATACATAGCAAGATAGAGAGAAAAAGAAAATAAGAACATGCGTGTGTGTACTGGAGCCCTGCTATAGGATTTGGTTGCATTTCTAAGAGGCCACGTTTGACCCTGAGGGTTATCTTTTAACATGATATCCCTACTCTCCCAGATTATTGTTTTGGGTTTCCACTGCCAGCTAGGCCAAAACAATTTGTGGTCCAAATGAAGTTGGCTGTGTGTGAGGCAGGCTGGAATTGAAGGCAGCAAGTGCATGCATATGGGTGGAACCCAATCACATTAGCATGACTACAAATTAAAACCAAAATGATGCAAAGTCAAGTCATCCCCCTGAATGATGCTCAGAGTAAACTTTTGAGTTAATGTTCAGAATATAGGCTCAGTAATAAAGGATATCTGCCAATAATAATAATACCTTCAGGGAACAAGGAAAAGTGACTGTTTTTTACAATCAGCTGTTTTCTCTCACATCTTTAAATCCTGCAGATGGGGATCAGATATTTCTAATACACAGCTGGTCTCTACAAGTGGCCAAGTGTAATTTTTCATATACCCGCATACCATTCCAGGTGAAATTAATTAGTCAGAATTCCTCATCAGAAAATATACTAATAAAATGTGATGCAAGTAATTAAATAGGCACATACTAGAACAACAGCATTAAAACTCTGATATGTCATTTCAAGTCTTCGAATAGACACCTATCTATTTGGAACATCAGTGCAAAACAAAATCAGAGACAAAACAAACCTTAAAATAAAAGTGTGAACAAGTCCCGACGCATGTGGCAAAATGCAAGCTGCAGGAAAATGAATCTGAAACAAGCACTGAATACTTTCTGGGTAAAAGGGTTGGCTCAGCTAAAATATATATTCCAATATTATGGAGCAAATGAATTAGGAGTATTTGGAGAAGCCAAGGCGAAAGCGCGTGCAGTGTGTGATGTCATCATCTGCTTGGCCTGACACTCAGACCCTGATATTCTTGCCAGGTTATGAGCAGTCATTCTAATTTACAGAAATGCTGTTTACCACTTTGCAAGCCATGCCAATATTTACAGAGAATTCAGTGAATGAATGAAAAGAAACAGCTGCGACTCCTTCCACCTCATTGCCCATTTCATCTCTAACTCTTCTCCTCTGTACTGTCTTATTTATAGTCATTTTGTTGAGCAATGGATTGGGCTTGGCAGCATTCAATACACTGATGCCTGTTTGTTAAGCACATCACTATTCCTGTTATGAATTTTCCCTTTCCTAAGTGTGTTTTATAGAGAATACTGTGATTGACTGTTCTGCATTTATATTTTAATAGGCTTCAAAATGCATGAATATCCCAATTATGTATTGTTTCCCTAAAACTGCTTTTACAGTGGTTTTAATGCTGCTCCTAATACCATAATTTATACTCACTGATGATATTTTAGTATCTGAGAATGTATGTGTGTTACAGTACAAATTACTGTAAAGAATGTCTGAAAAGTAAAAAGGCACAATTCTTTCCTTCAGGAAGCTTAAAATTTAGTTGAAGAAATAATATATGTACTGAAATAACAGAAGGTGATATTAAGTTATACATGGTAAATATTAACATGTAAAGCCAACTAGCAGAAATGCAGAAACTCAGAAGAAGAAGCAATAAGGGAGTTATGAAAAAAGACCTAGCCTGTGAAAGTTGAGAAGATTATGCATGGGTAAAGAGGAAAGAACAGAACAGGGTCTTTAGGGGACACTACACTGGGTTCTTGGGCCAGAAGAGCAAAGGCAATGATGATTTAGTGAGAAACACTTTTCAAGAGGCTCCTATAGTTTATTGCACCCTGCCCAAGGACACCAACCTTCCAGAGAACATGGAGAAGATTTTCATGAAGGAGAAAGGAATAGAATCTCTGAAAATATGTTTAGGCTCGTTCAAATTGAGATGTTCAACATCGCCTGCAAAACAGGCTATATAAATATTTGGAGACCAAGAGTTACCAAGAAAGAATGCATTGGTGAATTGACTGTAGTAATTGAAAATATTTGAATAATGAGAATATCTTGCAGGACCTCAATGTCCTTGTTCTAAATTTGCTCTCACTATATCAGAAGAATTTCATTTAGATTCTCTCCTGGCTCCTGGAGCAAACCAAATGAGCATGCGTATTTGATGGTTACAATAACCTGGGCTAGAATAAGTGAGCTCCATACTCAGGGCACCAAAATGATAGATGCTGAGCCTCAGTCATGGTCAAAAAGAAAGAGACCGAGGTCAAAGACAAATACCTTAACTGTCTCTGCATTAGGTCTGAGGGTGAAACCAAATGATGGATTAAATAAAGGCATTGCAAGGTGTGAAGCCAGGAAGAGCTGGAATACGTGAAGTGATGAGGTGTGAGCAGCACACGTGAGACTTAGAATAGAAGCTGTCTTAGTTCATTTTGTCCTGCAATAACAGAATACTACAGACTGGGTCATTTACATGGAAAAAAATTTAATTTTTTCCAGTTCTGGAGGCTGGGAAGTCCAAGGTCAAAGAGCGGCATCTGGTGAGGAACTCCTGACTACATCAGCCATGGTAAGAAGTGGAAGGACAAGAGAGCAGAAGAGCAAGAATGAGCATGAGAGGGCTGAACTCGCTTTTACTCAGGAACCCCCACCTAAGATAACTAACCCACTCCTCAATGATGACATTAATCCACCCATGAGGACAGAGCCCTCATGGACTAATCGTCCCATAATGGTCCTACCTCTTACTACCACCACAATCACAATTAAATTTCAATATGGGTTCTGGAGGGGACATTCAGAAAACAGCAGGAGCCATGAACACTGCAGGGTTATCTGAGCTCTGGCTTTATGTGGTGCTAAGTAGGGGTCATGCACAGGCTTTCTAGGAAGAGAAGAGAGAAAAATAAATTGCCATTTTGCTATTTTACCTCATAGAATACGTTTTATTAAAAACTTTCCTTTCATCCTGATATAAATTGATTCCACTTAAAATAAAAGCATGACTTTAAATTATATCACCATTAACTTAAGGTCTTTATATCATTGGTAACTTCATTAACAGAAAAAGTTGACAAATCAATAGCTATCTACGTGGAATGATTCAAGATTGACTTTTTTTTTAAAATAAACTATTCCCAAAGAACTGTTTCTACAAGGTAATATTTAGCCCATCTTTCACCCTCATTTTTCCAAGTATTCCTAACTCTTCCCCACGGGAAGATTCTATGGGAATAAGCTTCTGGTTTAGAGATTATGCTGGAAGAGTAAGAAATAGCTCCTTGTCCCTTTGTCATCATAGTCCTTGCTTCCATCCACCACTCCAAATGTGGGGCTCTTCTCTGGAGCTGGTGTCTTCACACGTAGTCCATTGGTTTTTGCCTTTAATTCAAGACATATACATTAAAAATGTCTATGGTTGTATGAAAAATAGCTAGACAAACAACTGGAACATTCTATTTGGGATGGTTTCATCAATCTCAACCATTCCTTTTTTACACACACACACACACACACACACACACACACACACACAGCCCTGTGGTTTTCAATTCTTGGTCAAAACCAACACACAACCCATAAATGCAGCAAGGTTGTCTCTGATCCCCAACTGTGCTGTCAAGTGGCCCAAATAGTACTACAGAATGATAACCCTAGGCTGTCACCACCCATACTCCCCTGTCACTGCAGGCCTGGCTCGCTCACTTGGGTGGAAAGTTTTGGAAATAGTAGAATAAAAATATCCTAAGGCTTGTGTTTATTCCACAGAATAGAAAGTTAAGAGAGCCTCTAGGGAAGCTCTTAATGGCCCTTTCTGTCTTGAATTGCTAAAGACATCTCCTCTCTCTAAGGCTGGATCCCAGGAGGTGAAGCAGGACCTTGGCATTATAGAAATATTGACGGGAAGAATGCAACTGCAGGCTTTCCACAAGACTCCTTGTTGTGTTGAAATTCCAAGGGCCCCTAAACGCAGTTAGAATCTTCCTTTCTTTTGCTCTTTTTCTAATGGTAACAATAAGTATTTAAGGCACAGATCTCTATGGTCTCTCAGTACAGGGACAGTGGATTGAAACACCCAGTGTTGACGAACTGATCAGTGATAAAGTCTAACACTTTAGCACAGAAGCCAGGACTATTAGGGAGCAGAATAGCTGTCAGACAGACATCTCAGGAGTCTCCTCACTGAATAGTTGCTCAGAAGTAAGTGATAGCTTCTAGGAGAAGCTTTTGCATAGAGCTAAAAGGAATTAGAATCTGTCTTTATATTTTAAAAGTTTAAATACTAAAACTAGATTCCTGGCAATGCCAAATTACTGCAGCAGGGAATGTACTCTGGTTGTCTTTCAGATATATGAATAGTGAAAGTAAGGGAGTTTTCCTGCTGAAGGAGAAGGATTTGAGACAAGAGTGATATGGTTTAGCTCTGTCCCCACCCAAATCTCATCTCAAATTGTAAACCTCAGGAAGGGACATGGTGGGAGGTGATTAGATAATGGGAGTGGTGCCGGGTGCAGTGGCTCACACCTGTAATCCCAGCACTTTGGGAGGCCGAGGCAGGTGGATCACGAGGTCAAGAGATCGAGACCATCCTGGTCAACATGGTAAAACCCCATCTCTACTAAAAATACGAAAAATTAGCTGGGCATGGTGGTGTGTGCCTGTAATCCCAGCTACTCAGGAGGCCGAGGCAGGAGAATTGCCTGATCCCAGGAGGTGGAGGTTGCAGTGAGCTGAGATCGCGCCATTGCACTCCAGCCTGGGTAATAAAAGTGAAACTCCGTCTCAAAAAAAAAGATAATGGGGATGGTCACCCCCACCTCAGCTGCTCTGGTGATAGTGAGGTAGTTATCACAAGAGCTGATGGTTTTAAGTGTTTGGAAGATTCCCCTTCCTGCTCTCTCTTGCCTGCTGCCATGTAAGGCATGCCTGCTTCCCCTTCTACCATGATAAGTTTCCTGAGGCCTCTTCAGCAATGTGGAGGCCTCAGGAAATTTTTTCTTTATAAATTACTCAGTCTTGGGCAGTTCTTTAGCACAGTGTGAGAACAGACTAATACAATGAGTCTCTATATCTTGAATTGTTAGAGAGAATAAAGAACTCTTGGCAAGGAGTCAGAAAATGGTCCAAGACAACTTTTTTTAAAAAAAGATTAATTTGTAGTCAATGGGAAGAATGAGTGTATTAATACATAAAAAAAGGAGGACTGGGCCGGGCACAGTGGCTCACACTGGTAATCCCAGCACTTTGGGAATCTGAGGCAGGTAGATCACTTGAGGCCAAGAGTTTGAGATCGTCCTGGCCAATATAATGAAACCCCGTCTCTACAAAAAATACAAAAATTAGCTAGGCATGGTGGTGCACACCTGTAATCTCAGCTACTTGGGAGACTGAGGCATGAGAACTGCTTGAACTCAGGAGGCAAAGTTTGCAGTGAGCCGGGATTGTGCCACTGCACTCCAACCTGGGCAACAGAGCGAGACTCTGTCTCAAAAAATAAAAATAAATAAATAAGAACTGGAATAAATAATATGACTTGGTCCACATAGCATATCTTCTGAAATAAACTGTTTCATTCACATATTTTGAGACATATGCAACAACCTTGGAACATGATGTTACAAGGTAAAAAAGAGAAAATTATTCTTAGTGCCTGGGGACTTCCTGTCAAGAGGTAAGAAGCTGATTTTGTGTAGACTGACATGGCTTATCCAGCAGTAAGCTGAGTCATTGGGGTGTTTCTAGTAGAGAGTCATATTAGACATAATAAAGCCCTCTTACAATGATGAGTCATGTAAAGTGAACCAAGAATGTATTTCCAATCACTTTGAAGTCCTAGGTGGAAAACCCAATTACATAAAAGTAGCTTCCAGTGGAATGTCATAAATTGGGAAAGAAAAATTACCAAAAAAGATGAGGCAATGAAGCACTAATTATGAAGATGTTGTTAAAGAACAGGATTTTTTTATTATTTTTTATTTTGCCTAAAAATAATGTATACTTGACAAGGCTAAAGAACAATCGGCAAAAGCAACAAAGAAGACAGTGCCCAGAACTAAAAAGTTTTAAATTGAAAATTTAAGCAAGCAGAAGAGCAAAAAAAAATTTTTGAGACAGTCTCACTCTGTCGCCCAGGCTGGAGTGCAGTGAGTGGCACAATCTCCACTCACTGCAGCCTCCGCCTCCCGGGTTCATGTGATTCACCTGCCTCAGTCTCCCAAGTAACTGGGATTACAGGAGTGCACCACCTTTCTTGAGAAAACTTTAAGACAAATAAGCATGTAGCAAATGCACAGAAATTTTCCAAGGATCATGAAGGTGAATTGGGATTCATACCTAACACTACAGAAAGCGTCTACATAAATTCATAGAGAATAAATAAATGATTTTGAATTCCAATGGAAAAAGCTGAATAAGACCCCAGAATACTACAGACGGAATAAGATGGAGATGAAATATGGTTGATTACAGAAATACATGCCTTATTTGAAGAAAATAGAATAAATAGACCTGAAAGCAGAATAAATTCCTATGTCAAGAAATTATAACCACTATAACCTATTATAACCTATGTATGTAAAATAATCTATTTATTTCTATTATAACCATGTATGTAAAATACAACATAGAATGCATATTAAAAGGCAATGGGGTAAAGATCAAAAGGCAATAAAAATGGTTTTGGTATGGAGGTTGCTTGCAGATTCTCTTGCCAAATGAGATTATGGATAATGTTTTCCTAATATAGATGAAAATTTGGCATAAAGGCAATTTATGGTCGTAGTAGAATTCAACCTTTGGGTCATTGTTTCTTTTCATGCTTCTAAAAGTAGAACATCTAAAAAAAAATCTCCTCTTTTATGCAGTTTCATGAATCAGGAAATTGGAAAAGTAATAAGGGAAACCCTTATACCCAATTTAGTTCTAAGCATAGTTTAAAAATGTGAACTAATGGGAAATGTAAGGGAGATTGTCCATGTAATTATAAGTCTTGTTCACCAAGGAAGTAAATTAATGATGATAAGAGCCAAACCAAACTTACATAGGATCAAGTTGGGATGGAAAAGCATGCCATGGGTTTTGGCATAAGATAGACCTGGTTTTAAGCCTCCTAGTCTCAATTATTTACTATCTTAGAGACTTTGATCAAGACAACACTTCTTTTCTGAGACTTTTTGTTTTCATTTCTAATGAATAGTTTACATATATCTGGAATACAGTGTCATTACCATATGCTGCACTAGACTAAAAATTTGACTTCAGAAATTCTATAATTCTCTCTTCTATCAATAAGGTCACTGAAATAGAAAATTACTGTAATAATTCAAAATCTGGCAATTAAATATGTCTGCATATGGGGAGAGGAAAAATAGTCATACTGGGCCAGTTACTAAGCAACCACTTTGTAAAACCCTATCTCACTAGGCTGAGAAGAGAACAAAGAAATGATGCTTTCCTATTAGACCCTATTAATCCCCTTTAAAGGGGAATACCACCAATGAAAGGATGGCCAATCATTTCTTTAACAACCTGTTGGTAAATGGGGTTTTGCATTTCTATGACTCTCCTTCT